AAAAAAAAAAAAAAAAAAAGTACATCCATGGTGTTGTGCAATCATTACCACCATCCATCTCCAGAACTTTTCACCATCTGTCTCTCTGAGTTCGTTGATGTAGGTACTTCATAAAAGTGGAATCATATGCTGTCTGTCTTTTGTGGGCTGAATTGTGTCCCGCTGAAATTCGTTTGTTGAAGTTCTAACCCCCAGTACCTCAGTATGTATATTTGTATAGAGTCTCACAGAATTAATGAAGGTGAAATGAGGCCATATGGGTGGGCCCTAATCCAATAATGACTGCTGTCCTTATGAGAGGAAGAGACTAGGATACGGGTAACAGACTGAGAGGCGACCACGTGAGGGCACAGAGCGAAGGTGGCCCTCTGCAACACCTTGATCTTAGACTTCTTGCCCCCAGAACTGTGAGAAAATAAATTTCTGTTGTTTAAGCCACCCAGCCTGTAGTATTTTGTTAGGACAACCCTGGCAACCTCTCCCATTATCCTTTTGGGATTAGCTTATTTCACTTAGCCTAACATTTTCAAGGTTCATCCATGTAGCCACATGCATTTGAATTTCATTTTTTTATGGCTGAATAATTTATAATTACAGTTGTATATTAATCCATCCCATTGTTTGGATAGACCACATTAACTTTATCCATTCATCTGTTGAGTGGGTTGTTTCTACCTTTTGGCTGTTGTGAGTAATGCTGTTGTGACCATGGGTGTGCAGGATCTGTTTGAGCCCAAATGGGCACCTTTCAGTCAAGTGCAGTTAACCCTTTACACGGTGCTGGGTGCACCCTCCCCCCCACCTGGTGGGTGCTTGCAGCTTTCTCTGACCCTTCAGCCCATGCCCTTTCTCTGTTCTCCGCGCCTGCCCTGCAGGCCCCTTTTTCCCTGACCCGCTAATTCCTCTCCTCCCCTGATGGCGCTCACTTGGACTAGTGGGAACACTCATGGCAGATCCACGTTCAAATGCAGACAACCTGCTCCTCGCGGGTGATGTCGACCGAGTTGCTTCGGCGGCCTGAGCTCCGTCTCCTCATCGTGCAGTGGTGGCGAGATGCCCCCTCTCGGGACATGCGGAGCCCCAGGCGCAGGGTGGATGCTTCATGGGCCCTGACTTCCTTTTCTCACCATGACTGAGTGCTACCCCTCTGTCACAGTGAGCCCTGCTCTCACCATGACCGTGGATGGAAGACTCGATATTGGTGTGCTGGTCAGGGTTCTCCTGAGAAACAGAGCCAATGGGAGTCTATGGAGAGTTTGGCACCAGAAAGTCGGAAGTCCACAGGGCAGGCCGTAGGCTGGCAGTTCCGTCAAGAGTTGATGTTGCAGGCTGGAACGTGGAGGCAGTGTGAGGCAGGAGGCCTTGCTCCCTGGGAACCTTGGTGTTTGCTCTTGAGGCCTTCGACTGATTGAACGAGGTCCACCCACCCACGTGTTGGAGGGTGATCTGCTTGACTCAGTGTCTACTGATTTAAATGTTGATTGCATGTACAGAGTACCTTCACAGCAACTTCCAGAGTGGTATTTGACCAAACAACTGGGCACTATAACCTATCACGCTGACACATAAAATTAACCATCACAATTGGTAACATGTTAGTTCTCTTCAAACTAATCTGTAAATTCATTGTAATCCCAATTGAAATTCAAGAAAGCTTTTTAAAAACAACTGACAAACTGATTCCAAGATTTATATGGAAGTGCAGAGGAACTAGAATGATCAAACAACTTAAAAAAGAATATCAAAGTTGGAAGTTTCATGCAACGTGACTCCAAGACTTACTAGGAGACCCTGGTGTTCAAGACAGTGTGGTAAATTAGCGCAGGGACGGACACACAGGTCAACAGATTCACACGCCTATGGTCAACTGGTTTTCAAAAAAAGGTGTGAAAGGATATAATCTTTTCAACAAATGGTTCTGAACAAATGGATGGCCACATGTAAAAAATCTAAACTTTGGTCCATATCTTGCAGTATATTAAAAAAATAGCACAAAATGGACATAGATCTAAGTGTAAAACCTAAAACTTTTACTCTTTTGGAAGAAAATGGGAAAAAAATCTTTGTGACCTTGGGTAAGGCAAAAAGTTCTTAGCTATGAAACCAAAAGCATAATTCATAAAAGAACAAATTGATAAATTGGACTTGATAAAATTTAAGAATGTCTGCTTTTTCAAATACTCTTAAGTGAATAGAAATACATTTACTTAAGATTGGGCAAAATATTTACAAATGATATTTGATAAAGGGCTTGTATCCAGCATTTATAAAAATCTCTTAAAATTCAATAGAATTAAACAACCTTGAAAAAATGGGTAAGAGATTTGAATAGGCAGTTTATCAAAGACACACCAAAGAAGTAGATGACAAATAAATACCCACATGGAAACACAATTGATATCATAAGTCACTAGGACAATGCATATTAAAAGTACAATGAGATAACACCACACAGCTACAAGAATGACTAAAATTTAAAGGCCGCACGTAGCAAGTGTTGGCATGGCTGTGGAGGAACTTGCTGGTGGACATGTAAAATGGTACAGTCATCTTAGGAAAAAGTTAGACATTCTAGCCCTTCCTTTCCTAGGTTTTGCCCAACAGAAATGAAAGTGTGTGTTCATAAATTGGACTGCATACGAATGTTCATAGGAGCTTCATTGGTAATAGTCAAAATGTGGAAACAGCCCACATGTCTCTCAGTAGGTAGATGGATAGCAAGTGCTGGTATGTCCATGTAAGCTACAACATGAGTATATCTCAAAATAATTTTGTTGAGTGAAAGAAGCCAAATAAAAAGATGTATGGTGTGATTCTATCTGTATCAAAGTCTAAGAAATGCAAACCAGTATCTAGTGACAGAAAGCAGATCAGTGATTGCCTGGTAGAGGGGTAGGAGGGAGGGACTGCAGGGATGGGGGAAAAATTTGGGAGTGAGGAAACTTGCTTTGATTATGGGTATCTACATATGTCCAAATATATCAAGTTTTACACTTTGAATATGCGTTGATTGCTCTCTGATGTTTATACCCCAATAACGCCGTTTTAAATGTAAAGCCCACAGATGCTGCCTGACTTTAGTTCCTTTCCTTTGTGGCCGAATGCTACCCTCACAGTGACACGCTCTCCTCAGCCACGCAAGCCAGTGTCTGCTTTCCCTCGGCTTCACAGAGCTGGCTCTCAGGGGCTGTCATGTGCCCTTAGGAAATTTACATCAAATTAGCACATTGCAGAGGCGTCAGAAGGTTCTTGTCACTGGAAATGGATCTCTGTCCCCCCGCCCTCTGACTTCCACCCTGGCAGCAGATGCGTCTCTGAGCTCCACCTTTTTCCCTCCTGTCACAGGCCTGGGGAGGTTAAGCTTCTGGCTGCTGACCTCAAAGGTCCAATGTCGTGGATTTTCCCTAACTAACCATTATGGGTTTTCCTTCCTGACCCTCAGGGAGGGGCTAAAACTGACATTGGGGGCTATCAGAATCTCTCTCTCTCCCTTGTCCTATAACTCCTTCATCTGGAAAACTGAAGCACGTCCAAATCATTGACTTGCCCTGGACTTTAGATCAAGTTAGTGCAAATACCGGGTATTCAGTTCCTAGCTGCTAGGCCTAATCCAAGGGACGCCCCACTTTTTCTCCACTGCTCCTGCCCTGCGACCCATGTCATGTGACCCCAGGGCTGCTGAGGGGAGAGAATCTTCTTGAGCCCTGCCTCCCAAGGACCTGGCAGCTGGCACGACAGCGGCAGGCTGAGCCTTTGCACAGCCTCTCGGGGTCCAGGCTGCTTCCCCATCACGCCTGCCCAGTTGCCCCAGTGACTGTGTGACCCTTCTTCCCCGCCCCGCACTGCCCCCTGCCCTATAAATAGAGGCGAGGAGCAGCTGGGCGCTCTTGGCAGTCACCATGAGGGTGCTGGTCCTGCTCTGCTGCTTTGTGGCGTCGCTCCTGCTTCCAGGACAAACAGGTATGGCTCCCACCCCTGTCGGCCAGGCCAGACTGAGTCCCCACGTATCCCTGAGGTTTTATGTTTGCCGTGGGGTGGGGGGCTCAGGTGGTAGGTGGAGGATGGGGCCTCTGTGATTCCTGGGACTGATGGCAAACCTTCCCTTCCTCTGGTCTCAGTGTCATCTCCGTTCCGTTCTCCCTGGGGCTTGGGAGAGAACCCGAGATCAAGTTGGGGGGGTTCGTGGGGAGGCCAGAGGAAGTGGAGGCAATGAACTGAGAGGTGCAGGAAAGTGCAGGGCCTGAGCTGGGGCCAGTGGATGCTGGGGAAGAGGACCCCAAAAGTCAAGACTGGAGGAGTGTCCTATACGGATGGAAGAACTGGTGTTGGAGCTGGAGGGGCCCCTTCAGGTCACTGAGTCAACCCTTCTGCTGGAGATCTGGCTGGGTCCTGACTTTGCATGACGGAGGATGGGGGGCAGTGGGCAGAGTTGGGGGTTGTTTGGGGAACAGTGGAATAGAGTGGGAGTTATGGGATGGAATTGGAGATAGAATTGGGGATTTGGCTGGACACTGGACTGGACACAGGGTTTTGAAGAGGAACAGCCCCCTTCTGGGTGGAGCTGGGCCAGGCTGGGCTTCCATAGAAGGGGGCTGGGGGCTTGCGTGCACAGCTTTCCTGTGACATCTCAGCACCGTGCAGCAGAACCCATGGCTCAGGTTACAGCATGCAGTTTATTTATAGGCATGGAGGGGACACCTGAGCATTGTGCCACCTCTCTTGTTCCTGAGATTCCTGGGACTGGTTTCCCAGTTGGGATGCTTCAGGGTGGTCTGGGGACCCCCAGGAATCTGGGACTCCCACTTTGTGACTCGGCAGTCTTCATCTGAGCAGGGGGCCTTGGGGGCCAGAACCACAGCCACTCCGACCTTTGTGCCAGCCCCTGCCAGGAGAGTAGGCATATGCAGGTGCAGTAGCCTTTCCTTCAGGGGCTGGACTGAGGTGGAGGCTCGGGTCTTGCATGTGCCGCTGGGCCCTGCCCTTGTCTGCCCTTGAGTTAATTTGGGCTTCTAGGGGCTGCCGTGGCTGGAGTGGTGAGGATTCCAAGCGGCTGTCAGGTGGCTAAGTATGGAAACAGCCACGTAATTGGATCCTGAGCCCAAGCCACTGCCACCCTCTCCCCTTCGCTGTGCCTCCCCTGCTCCGCCCATCCCCAGTTGCCACCTAGCTCTGCTTCCACACAGCAGGCTCAGGAACTTTTAGCCTTTTAGGGACATCCTTTATCTTTCCGCCCAACAAAGGAACCGGACATTTGGAATGTTCCACAGGCCTCGCCGAAGGATCTTGCCAAGGGGAAAGGAGGCAGCCCTCTCTGTGCATGCCCTTTCCTTCCTGGACTCTGCCATGTGCCCCTAACTTAGCTTCCAGTGGGCAGCTTGCTCCCTTACCCCTGCGTGCAGCTGGGGCTGTGGGTGCTTCCCCAGGGGTGGAATTTATCATTACTGCAGTTGTAGATTGTAGCCCCCAAAGATGGGGTCCTCCTGCACTACTGGGATATTTCAACCATATGGGTGGCATCTCCCATCCCCTAATAATTCTTTCCACTGGTCGATATCCCCGTAGAATTGTGCCACCTGGTATATGCCACCCTGCCTGCCCACAGGCAACAGCTTTGCTCCTGAGCTCCCAGGCCTGCTCTGGATCCTCATTTCCATCCCCACTTGCCTGCACCTCACTTGGTGCAGGCAGAGGTCTTCTTTAACCCTTTCCTGCTTCCTGGGGGCAGTGATGGGAGGTGCTATAGGGCTGCCCTTCCTTTTCCCCACATTGTTCTGTGGCCCTGTGGCCTGAGGTGACAGGCCGCTCGGTTCCTGAGTGAGGACCCCAGAGCAGCCCTGGATGCCAGGACGCAGGTGGGAGGCCCTGGCCACACCACTTCTCTCTGTCTTGGGAGCCAGGCCTGGAGAGAGAAAAGCGGCCTCCGCCGTGTCCAGGTAGGAGAGAGAGAGCCAGAGGTCTGGGAGGCGTGTTCAAGGTCAGCCAGCCAGTCAGTGACAGGAATGCCCCGCTCAGGCCTGGCCCTGCCCTGGGGCGGGGTGTGGGAGGGGGGTCCTGCAGCGCCTCTCTGACAGCTCTGCCTTGGGGGACGAGGGAGGAAGCTGCCAGGACGCGGGCCACAGGCGGCTTCCCTCAGGATGTGGGGTAAGCGCCCCGCCTTTGATCTTCTGACCCGCCCCACCATGGGGGGATGGGGGCCACTGAGACAGCACTTCTCCCGGTTCAAGCCACTGCCCTTTGTTAGGCTGAATTCTGGACATCTTTGCCTCCTGTTACCTGGCCCATGTAGAGAGTGGCAGCAGGCGGGGGCTCTGTGTTCATCCTTCCTCCAGCCTGGCCCTGTTCGCAGAGCTGTGAGGGTCCGCTCATCCAGACGGTGAGAGGTCGGTTCACACTGGAGCGAACCTGCCCATCCATGAGAGAGGGGGTCTCTCAGGAACCCTGTCATGCCCCTCCTCATCCACTACAGACTGGTATTTCCAGAAGGAAGCTGGTGTTCATGTTTCCTCAACAGGGAAGCCCAGCTGCCACGATCCACCATGGGAGGGCTGCTCAGAGAAGGTCATAAGCTTGGGGGGCTTGGGGAGAAAGCAGACCCCAGAAGCCTTTGCAGCCCCCCCTGAAGGCTATGTTCCCTAGCAGTTCCCCACCTCCCAGCACCATACAGCTGGACAGGTTGGTAGAGGGCACCATGGCTGCCACTTCCACAGCAAATCTGCCAAGCACGACTCTGAGAACTTGCTAACAGATGCATTTCCCAGGTGTGAGCACCTTTCTTGTGCATGTGGATCCATGGCTGGGGAGATGCCTGTTTCGCCCCATGTCTGGGTATGACAGTGAAGGTCCAGCAGCTAGTTCAAGGCAGGGCCAGAGCTGGAATGCAGGTCTCCTCACCTCCCCCAGAAGGAGGTCCAGACGAGGTCCTGTGCATCCACCTGGCCATTTGCTGCTCGCTGAGGTGTGGTGGGCTGGGAAGGGGTGCAGGACGGCTGATCACCCCTTCACCTGGCCTGAGTGCCATGGACAGAGTCTGCATGCTGTGCCTTCTGGCCCGGGGCAAGGCTGGTGGTGGGGTGTGGGTATGTGGCAGGGCAGGTGTCTGCTTCTGTGGGGCGCCGGCTTCTCCCCTCCAGATCCGAATCCAGACTCATGGCACGACTGCTGACTTGGATGCTTCTTGAGTGTGCAAAGCCCTCTCATGCAGACACTGCACCCTATTTCATCCTTCATCCATTCGTCCCGGATTTATTGGGTACCTACTGTTTTCTAGGCACGGCACTGAGGGACTTCGGATAGGCACTGTATCCTGCGCACACTTACAGTCCAGTAGGGGAGGTAGGGGATCACCTTGTGTCTGTGCACACCCAAGTGAGACACATCAGTGTCACACAAGGGAGGCACAGGTGAGGTGGGGTGATCATTTTTGACTGAGTGGATCAGGAAGTGTCTTACAGATGAGGGGACGTTTGAGATGGGCCTTGAAGAAAGGAGGATCCAGACATGCAAAGATGGAAGGAAGAGATTCCACAGAAGGGGGAAGGGTGAGCAAGCTCAGAACACCTGGGAAGACTGGTGCTCTGAGGAGAACCAGGGAAGCACACGTGGTTCCACCTGGGATAGGGAAGGCAGAGGAGAGTGGGCGCCCCAGGGTGGGGGTGGGCCGAAGTGTGAAGGGCTTGAGCGTGGGACTGAGGGGGAGCGCTCTGCTCTGTGGATGCCGCGTGACCATGGAGGCTTTGGAAAAGTCCATCTGGCAGTTTGTAGGGAGGAGTAGAATGAGGAGCCCAATTAGACAACCACGTCGCAAGTCCAGAGAGGGTGTGACCTCCGCCGGGGAGCTGGAATGGAGAGGAGGGGCAGACCCAGCCACCAGCTGCGGGGGGAATCTACGGAGCTTTGCCTGGTGAGCCCCAGAGACGGAGTCCTCATGGCTCAGACTAGGTCCCCAGAGGCATGATCTTGTCAGAAAGAAAAGACCAGAATCATAAAAAAATAGACTTTAGAAGTCCGGTTTGGATTATCATAAACTCTGGGTGCCAGTGGAACATCTGGATGAAGACCCTGGAGGATTAAGCGTAGGAGGAAAGTCGGGTCGGGGAATTTGGAGAGGAGTCGCTCTTGGGCAAGGGTGAAGGTTTGGCTGGGAAATCGCCAGGGAGGCTGCTGCAGAGGGGGAAGTGGTCCTGGAGCTGGCCCTGGACAATGATGGGTGCAGGGAGTGGGGAGAGGAAGGGGAGTGGATTTCAGGAGCTGGGAGAGACCCAGGAAGAGGCAGTGAGCCGGAAGCCAAGGGAAGGGATGCCTTCTAAAGAGGCAGGAAGAGAGCCACAGAATGGTGGGGAAGCAGACGCATGGGGCCGGCCCCAGGTCACTCACAGGTATGGGGGTGCACACGTGCCTCAGGACGATGCTGAGGCAGCTTACTCAGACAACGGGATCTCACACTGCCTGGGAGGGATGAAGGACAGTCAGAGAAGGGGCGTGTGTGGAGGGAAAACTAAATGTGTTCATGGGCTGATGGGAGGACCCTGTGGAGTGGGAAAGATTGGCCAACGCCAGGGTGGAAAGGGACCACGTTTGGAGGGCGGATGAGGTCTGAGGCAGGTCTCAGGGCACACATGCTGTCGCACTGTGGAGACCTCAGTAGGACACCCCACTTTTGAGATAAACTTAGTACCCATGGTGCCAGCCAGGGAGCTCAACCAGGGAGCAGGGGGTCTTGGTTTACACTGGGGGCCACGAGGGCCTGGAGGGCCACGGAGGGAAGGAACCAGACTGCTGTTCCCAGGACTCCTGGGAGGTGGAAAAAAGAGAGGCCGATGGCACTGAGTTGTATGGTATCAGCCAGCAGGTCCCAGCCCACAGCCTGGCTTCTAGTGCCAGAGAAAACCTGGGAAGAGACGGGGCGTGGAGATGTGGCCAGTGGATCAGAGTTTTATGCTCAGTGTGTGTTGGTCTCTCAC